GTGCAATAGTACACTGTACAGAGTTTGAGCAGAATCTGTGCACTATATTCTTATGTATTCTTTCACTAATACATGTGGGTTCAATTTATTGTGAGTATCAATGTGGAATACAACAAGGAACCAAATAGTACATTTCTCACAATTCACAAAAAGCAGGTGCCCTGAGTAAAACAAGAAGTGCCTCTGCACAGCTGACATGACTATAAAGAACTAAAACGAGTCATGGTTCTCAACACAGAAACTGGGCCCACTAAAAAGATTCATAATTGAAGGGAAGAAATAACTATAAGATTGTTTGGTTACAACAATTGTACACCTGAAAACCTGTACAATTGTAAAGAAATAGTTTTGAACAATTGTAAAGAAATAGTTTTGAACAATTGTAAAGAAATAGTTTTGAACAATTGTAAAGAAATAGTTTTGAACAATTGTAAAGAAATAGTTTTCATTTGCACACACAATGTACAAACGTTATGTATTTATTCATTGGCAGCTTCTAAATTCTGTTCCAAACACTGTTTTGTCAGTTATCCATGTGTAAATGTTTCACATTCACCAGTAGCGTGAAATATGTTTACATATCTTTCACACATTTTTAGCTGTTTCATCCATATTTACCTCTCATATATATACCTCAATAATTGACAGATATCTAGTTAAGGATTGTGGATATGTACTGATGGCCAGTCCTACACAGAATAAAGAGGCCAGAAGTTGTGTGTAAAGTTGAAATGGAAATAACGTGACATTCACTATTAGCATATTTACAGCGGTCATACAGTACCAGCCTACTGCAAGACCACTGCACAGTGTACAATGTCTACCTCACCCTGTCACCATGTCTCTGAGCCAGCCTACTGCAAGACCACTGCACAGTGTACAATGTCTACCTCACCCTGTCACCATGTCTCTGAGCCAGCCTACTCCAAGACCACTGCACAGTGTACAATGTCTACCTCACCCTGCCACCATGTCTCTGAGCCAGCCTACTGCAAGACCACTGCACAGTGTACAATGTCTACCTCACCCTGTCACCATGTCTCTGAGCCAGCCTACTGCAAGACCACTGCACAGTGTACAATGTCTACCTCACCCTGCCACCATGTCTCTGAGCCAGCCTACTGCAAGACCACTGCACAGTGCACAGTGTACACAGTGTACAATGTCACCCACCCTGCCACCACTCTCCACCCTGCCACCATGTCTCTGAGCCAGCCCATGTCTCTGAGCCAGCTGCAAGACCACTGCACAGTGTACAATGTCTACCTCACCCTGTCACCATGTCTCTGACCACTGCAGTGCCTACTGCCACTGCAGACCACTGCACAGTGTGCACAATGTCTACCTCACCCTGCCACCATGTCTCTGAGCCAGCCTACTGCAAGACCAAGACCACTGCAAAGTGTGTACAATGTCTACCTCACCCTGTCACCATGTCTCTGAGCCAGCCTACTGCAAGACCACTGCACAGTGTACAATGTCTACCTCACCCTGCCACCATGTCTCTGAGCCAGCCTACTGCAAGACCACTGCACAGTGTACAATGTCTACCTCACCCTGCCACCATGTCTCTGAGCCAGCCTACTGCAAGACCACTGCACAGTGTACAATGTCTACCTCACCCTGCCACCATGTCTCTGAGCCAGCCTACTGCAAGACCACTGCACAGTGTACAATGTCTACTTCACCCTGCCACCATGTCTCTGAGCCAGCCTACTCCAAGACCACTGCACAGTGTACAATGTCTACCTCACCCTGCCACCATGTCTCTGAGCCAGCCATTCCTTGTTTCATCATGTTAATGCTGCGTGCCAGAAGTACCATCTTTCTACAGATTTTGCAGGGACCAAAATTGTGCTTGATTTCCATGCGATGGCAAAATGAATATTGAAATGGCAAGGATGAAATATTGTCATAGTACACTGTCATAATACACACCATGATCCAGAGTGGGCCATGACCCAGAAAAAATGTGTATTTGATGCACAAATCATCTCAAATATGCAGTGAATTTAGAAGCTTGCGTCATGGTTGACCCAATCCTACTGGGCCCTTAGTTTAGATAAGTTTGAGTACATATTATAATTTGCTGTTGTTTAAAACTACTCAGTTTAATTTTTGCCAGTTAATTGTCAGTGCTGATTAAATACCTGACCTGCCTTACCTTGTTCTTTGTCGCTATTAAGCAATCACAGTTGATGTCTTGATGCAAGTTGCAAACTGAAGTTCACTCCAAAAAAACATGTCCATCACTCCCTCTCAAGACACCAGGGAGTCATGATGACTCCTAGATATTTAGGCCTAGGGCAAACACTGTCTGTGATCTATTTAATGGAAAATGCGATAAATCTGAGCAACTAAAATATCTCAAAACCATTTTTGCATCAAACTGTGGCACTCTCAATCTCACAGCTTATGGCCATTTTGAAAGCCGCTTCACATAACAGGAAATCTTATTTTGGATGATAACATAGTTTATCAGTATATGGGTTACCTTGTCATGCTAATGGGTCCAGGACAAATGAAACTGAACTACTAGCAGTCATGATAACGTCCAGGAAATCCAGCTCTCAAATTTACAGGTTTACAGGTTTATTATTATAGGATATTTATATAGCGCACATATCCACGCACTAGTGCATGCTCAAGGCACTGGTATTTTTCCCTCGATCATTGGATGTCAATCTCAACGGCACATTGCATTATCAATCTCAACTCCCTGGGGAGTATACAACTCTTGCAGCCACTAAGCGCACCAAGTTATTGTGGCTTTCTCATCCTAACGAGGTACCCATTCACAGCTGGGTGGACTGGGACACATAGTCACAGTACTTTGTCCATGTTCACTGCACGTTGCTGTACCCGCAACTTGGTGTTTGCACGCATTCATGTGGCCACCATCTGGTCAAATACCAACGGATTTACTGATTTAGGTTACCTGAGTTATTAAACAATAAATTCAGTGACAAAACTGTTGTGATGTTTTAACTATCATAGGATCATCAAAAGGTATGGACACGCTTATTTTCACAAAGGCACGCCAAAATTATTTGTCTGGTGCCCTATGGCACCCTTCAAAATCTTTTTGTTTCTATCCCTTTTTTGGTAAGACAGTTGGGGATGACACCACACACCTGCCTTTGGACAGATGTTCGATCCACTCGACCATGGAGACCCTCATTAAACTGGTCTCAGAGCCAGCTGCACAATATACAGTAAAGTGCAGTACTAACAAACTCAGGGATCACTAATTTTAGTTCACTGCAACCATAGTTCGTTATATGCATTACCACTACAATATACGCCAAGTGGTTGGGAATAATAGTTTGTTATATCTGTTAAGGTTACAAGCCCGTTCATCATATATGCCCTATCCACCAGACCATTGAGGCCGTCAATAGACACAAATTGATTTTACACTTAGCTACACCAAGTACTATATCATCTTCCTACAACATAGCGACAGAAACGGTAGAATATAAACATGATGATATTGTATCTTCTGCATCCTGATATTGCTACTGAACATGTTTCCTATTGCAAGGATATCACTAACACATAGTGTCTCTTGTCATATCCAGTGGTTAAACTAAAAATGCGCAAAATCTGTTTACAGGTTTGGGATCGTAGGATTTCAGCTTCCACGCAGACCTTTGCTTCCTAACCAATGTAAACATGTTTTGAGTCAGAACTCTAAGAATAAACTGTTTGCAAATGTTCAATCAAAAGTATTTAAGAAATATGACAGGCTGACGAACATTATCCAACAAGACAGCCCCATGCAATCAATCACCTACTAAAACTCAGCTGTCAATGTCCCATTTGCCATACATAATGCAATGTATCCTGAATGTTAATGAACTTTGCAAGTTGACTATTGATTCTATGTGATCAAAGACAAAGGTTGTGAATGTGTAGGATACTATTGACCAGCTTTTCTGTGGGGTTTGCTGGAGACCATCTGTCAATATGCAGTGCCAATCAGTAATAATGGGGGGGGGGGTCTGTCTTGTGGACTGATGTAGTCAATGACTGTAAACTAGTACAGGCATAATGATATATGTTAGACTCTGTAATATTTATACCAAAGGTTTTTCTCAATATTCAAACAATTTATAGACTTAGTATCCATAAATAGTTCATATACAATCAAAGGGATAATTCTCCACAATATGTGGATTATTTAAAAATAAAGCGTGAAAGATTCTAATGGCAGTCCATCATGATTGGTTGCGTCAAATAAAAAATCTGTTCTTCAATAGAAAATAAAAGATGAATTAAGCTTGGTGATCTATTATTAATGAAAAAATCACATTCTGAAAAATAATTACTTTGAGCATGGCTAAGAATCTGTTAACACAACAATCAGTAAGAAGAAAAGGACTGGGTATTCCATAACACATTTTGAACTATAATATTCAGTCTGTGCCTTTGGCATGTTTGACAACCTGATAGGTATTTCTATGCTTCCTGCCCCTGTTTAAAACCTTCATATGTCAGCATAAAAATCTAAAAGACATGGCCTAAAATTCTTGAGGAACTTAACTGACCTCATGATCTGAACTTTTTTGGTATAGGAATCGTTATTTTGTTAATTATGATGCATCTGTTAATCATGTTTTTTGTTTTGTTTTTATCATGAGACATTTCATTAATGACATTGATTCTTCAGGCATTCCAATATTCTAATTGAACGTATATGTGAATGAAATATTTAAAACACTGTCAAACCTGGAAATATTAAATGCAATTGGACGGAAAAACAGTATCCACCACGACTATATTAATTATTATATTTAATTTTACCACATACAGCTGTTAGCATTACGATTTTCAATGGGTGTATACTTTTGGCTTATTCAGACTGACAGTGACAGGTCTGATTTGAGATAACCTGACAGTTTATGATATCAGAATGTCAAGGGTTGTGTGTGCGTTGATACAATGACAGTAAGTTAACATCTGCCAGGCGATGCCTTTGATCTTCGAGTCATATTTACCTGTTCAAATCTTGCCCTTTCTTGAGCCTTGCCTGCTTTCTCTGCCTTTAAATTATCCACGAGAAGACGGAGTCCGTTTATCTCGTCGTTCTCCGTCTCATAACGACTGGCGAGTGTCTCTAGTTGTTCTAAAGCCTTGATCACTTTTGGCATCAAATCGGTCACAGCATCGTTTCCGTACGTTGTGATGAGTTTATCAAATTCTTGAGCGATTCCGGCGGCTTGGTCGTACACGTCGGTGACCGATATGGACGGGTCGCTCGACATACTACGATCACTGAATTGGCGCTCCATTGATATTAGTGAAGGAAGTAAATTCCATGGCAGGTTTGACTTCAACAAGGAAACGGCGTCTTGACAGTTATCATGCTTACTGATTGGAGATCACGAGCTTCGAGTACCTGCCCACTACTGTTTACCTACGACCACTTATGTGTTAACAGCGCAGTGTAGGCGTCTAGTGGCGCTCATTGACAAAAGCAATTGGCACGTATAAGCTCATAACTGTATGCGATATTTGTCTCCACATATTTCTTGATACATCATAATGATAATTTTAAAACTTGTTATCAACAATTTATAGACACGTTTATAGTTTTATTATCAGCAAACCCAATAAAATTCGTATATAGTTAACGTACGTGTTGAAATCAAATTGCTGGTAGCTCTTTAGACTAACGCTTAGTTTCTGAATATATACAATTTTTATAGTAACAAACAAACCCATTTAAATTGAAAAGGAGCCCCAGGCAGACCAGAGATTCCTGAACCTGAGGAAATCTAGACTTGCTTCATTTAGGGCTTTAGCATTGCAGAGAGGGCTAGACAGCGGGGGAAATAATGTGGTTCAGGGACTGTGAGACAGACTAGTAGTTAATCTTTTGTAATGTTCCGTCTGTCATTTATTACGCCTATCATCTAAGGTTCAAAATTCTCAGGTCTTCTTTGTGTCTATGGGTATCATTTTTAAAATCGGTTTCTCAAACACGGTACTCCAAGAGGCGAGTAGCTGACTAAGGGGAGGTAATAACTCACATCATCACATAATGTGCTCATTGAACACACACAGAACAAAAATATTTCCTGGGTGCTTTATTAGTTTTGCGATGCCGAGAAAAATACAAAATGTCGATTATTTGGCATTTAACAATTCAAAGTGACATTTCAATTTGTCTACCATTTAGAGTTTTCAAAAGCTGTAATCTATACAGATTTCTTTATGCTGCGGGTCTCACTGCATGCTGAGGGCATCCGTTAGAGACCACCTCAACAGGGAGTCTATATAAACATTTTACAGTCCTTAAAATCACCTGTCTAAGTCATAACCGTGAACCGTATCAATCTACCCTTTGCCATAACAGATTCACGCGAGACATGTATCACACCGATACACAAGTACTGTGTCATCAGCGCGCAGTAGCAATCGCTGTGATGCCAAGACCTAATAATCCAACCGGTAATTGTTTAACTTTGCCGCAAGGGGGGTAACAGATTCACGCGAGACATGTAGGCATGATCGCATTGCTTATATATACGGTTGTCATAGTTCATATACTTTAACAGAGATTTTCGAAAATAGTAGCACAAAGGATGTTTTGTTGAATATCGCCATATACTCCATGAATTACAACCAGGAAGTGATATGGTTCTGCCAAACGAAGAATCATTATCAGGGTGAATCTGTAATTATTCCCGCCAACCAACATTAGATTCTGGTACGTCAAGGGAGGCAACTGCGCAGAATAATGCGGCGCCTTAGACGAGTGGTCTAACCGTGCCTCTCATGAACAAAATCTTCTTGTAAAATGTTTTATGCCGCATTGTGTAACATCTCGGTTATATACAACGGTCTGCAAATAATCGGGACTGCACCTGACAACCTAGTGTTTAACATGGAAACCATGGAAACACATGCAGTTGGGGATACGATGACATGCGCAGCAACCAAGTCAGCTAGCCTGGGCGCCCGATCCCTGGAGTCACCTCTTACAACTAGCCTTGATTGCTAAAGACCAATACCGTTATCAAGCAAATGATGATAATATCATTTGTTAGCATCTACACCGAAACGTCGCATATATTGCAATAAAGTAGCTGTCTGTCCATAAAGGTGTTCCTCTTCATCATATAGTTTCTAGAAGCCACTTAAAGAAGAAGCCGCCTCCGTGGTGTAGTGGTTAGAGCGTCCGCCCGGAGAGCGGAAGGTCGCGGGTTCGATCCCCGACCGCGTCATACCAAAAGACGTTAAAATATGGTACTTGTTGGTCCCTGCCTGGCGCTCGGCATTAATGGGTACAACAAGGACTGGTCGGCTCGGAGTCAGTATAATGTGTCTGAGTGGGGTATTCATGCTTCACTGCGGCATGGTATCTCAGTGGGCTAGCACTATAAAACCAGGTTCAGTCTGGGCTAGTACAAGCAGCCGCACATACACATACACACGCATACACGTCGTCATATGAGCGAAATATTCTCAAGCACGACGTAAAACCCAATTTCACCTCACCTCACTTAAAGAAGAAGCTCACTGAACACTACTGGAGATTTAAAGAGCGCTTCCAGCAAATGCTGAATATACTATGTGTTCCACGAGTCGATACTGTTTGGGGGAAATGGTAGGACTTGATAACAATAGCCACACAGAACATACCGAGTCATCCACACGCAATGTAAAGAAATTCAGTAGAATAAATATTACTAAAACCAGATCTCGTTTTTCACAAAGTGAAAAACTCCACTTGTCACTGAACATTTTCCGTCATATTTTTTCTTCTTATTTCATGTCCCGTGATAGACTGATATATTTGTCCCTGTGTGACTAGGCTGATTATTAACATCTTGAATGCTATTTACTACTCAAAATTGTTTATAACACCTGGGGTGATTTTTCATGCAATGTCAATAATAGTCATATGAGCGAGTTCAGTTTTACGCCGCTTTTAACCATATCCCAGCTATATCACGGCGGGGGACACCAGAAATGGGCTTCACACATTGTACCCATGTGTGGAATCGAACCCGGGTCTTCGGCGTAACGAGCGAACGCTTTAACCATTAGGCTACCCCACCGCCCATTAGTCATATGAACAAAGAGGGTGTTCTTTAACGTCTTTGGGGTGAACAAGGGGTTAGTTGGTTAGGATATATACTTCTTTATTACAATATTGTGGCGTCCTGTGCATAGAGCTCAGGTCACAAATCAGTTGAAGTTAAGCAACGTCGATCTCGGAGAATCCTTGGATGGGTGACCGTGCTTGGCAGTTTCACTCCTGAGAGTTTCTAGGACCTCAGTACTGCCCCACAACGAAACACATTGGATACATTTGGTCTCACTTTAGTTTGTTCAAAATTGCCTCTGTTCACCCAGCAGAAATGTGGGTACCCGGTGGGATAAGTCATGTGACTATAACCTTCTCGCGCTTAACAGGCAGCTTGGGTTATCCGGGGTAACGATAATCAGATTGTAACAAAAATTGTAGCGATTTGAGCATGCACTAGTGCATGGAGTCTAGCGCTTTACAAATACACTATATTATCATTAATATATATCCACGTTTCTGTGTAGATGCTAACACCGTTAATAGGGACGTATAACTATCATCTGCACTGAAACGTTGCTTATTGAGTGAGTGTTTGTGTTTAGTTTTACGCCGCACTCAGCAATATTCCAGCTATATGGTTGCGGTCTGTAAATAATCGAGTCTGGACCAGACAATCCAGTGATCAACAGCATGAATATCGATCTACGCAATTGGGAACCGATGAATTTGTCAACCAGGTCAGCGAGCCTGACCACCCGATCCCGTTAGTCGCTACTCGGCATTAATGGGTACAACAAGGACTGGTCGGCTCGGAGTCAGTATAATGTGTCTGAGTGGGGTATTCATGCTTCACTGCAGCATGGTATCTCAGTGGGCTAGCACTATAAAACCAGCTTCAGTCTGGGCTAGTACAAGCAGCCGCACATACACATACACACGCACGCACGTCGTCATATGAGCGAAATATTCTCAAGCACGACGTAAAACCCAATTTCACGTCACGTCACGTTAGTCGCTACTTACGACAAGCATGGGTAACTGAAGGTTCATTCTAACCCGGATCTTCACGGGTGCGATACTGTTTGAGGTAAATGGTAACAAAAGCCACACAGAACAAACCCAGTCATCCACACGCAATGTAAATAAATTCAGTAGAATAAATATTACCAAACCCAGATCTTGTTTTTCACAAAGTGAAAAACTCTACTTGTCACTTAACATTTTCCGTTATATCTGTCCCTGTGTGACTAGGATGGTTATTAACATCTTGAATGCTATTTGCTACTCAAAATATGTTTATGACACCTGAGGTGCTTTTTTCATGCAGTATTAACATTAGTCATATAAACAAAGAGGATGTTCTTTACGTCTTTTGGGTGAACCAGGGGGTGGTTTTTAGGATATATACTTCTTTAATTCAATAAATACGACGTTTCGGTGTAGATGCCAACACCGCCATTAAGCTAGTGTTAGCATATACACTGAAACGTTTCATACATTGTAATAAAGAAGTTGTATATGCACAAAACTATCCCCTTTGTTTATCACACCAATTTCTAAATGCCACTCAAAGATGTTGTTTTACATGGTACACAGAACAACAGTTGTGTTCGCAAACTAAAATAGCGCGATTTCACTGATTTGAATCAAACTTGCAACACAGCTCTATTTACTCATGTATGTTTCAGTAGTTTGCGGCCAGATATGCAAACAAAATTAAACCCCCAAATGTATAAAACTGTGTAAATACCCATTTATTGATGGACAAGAGACACGGGGGTAAGATATCCTGAATACCCCAAAGAAACCTGTCAATACCCAATACGAATGATAGCAAGTGACTTATTACACACTGGCTTTCTTTTAACTTGGAGTCCTAACTGTCATGACTACCAATTGGTCCAAACCTGGAACCTCTTCAAGGATGTATTGCAGATGACAGACCATTTTACTTCCTCAAAATTGAAACAATTACCGTATCGGAAAAGAATGCTGAAGCTGTTTCAGACAATTATTGGCGGCCAGAAATTACTCCCATAAACATTTCACTGAGTATTGATAACTGACTGCATTTAATTTCGATAACAAATAATATTATTCTTTTCTGTGTCAACGTGTGGTACTGTCGAATAACACCAGTTAATAGGAATACAGTATTCATGTCAATAATAAACATTTTCAGTGTCGGAGTTCACTTCCTCTAGTTGTTAATGAACATAAAAATATAAATAACACAAATAATACGTTGCTTGTATTTACTTATGTCAGTGCAAGTAACAAAGATACTATATAACGAATAACTGATTTTGTTTGAGAGATCCGGAAACGAGCACTTGCTATTCCGTGCGGTCCTTCCACTATCGCATGCGCAGATTAGAGTTACGTGGCAAGCCGCTGCACGCTGAGTATCAAACCGGCAAAACAGTGTTGATTTTCAGTCATCATGGATCCTATTGAAATGTTATCGTTACTTGTGATTTGCCTACTTTCCTTCACACAAATTCAGGGATATTTCATTCACATAGATGCTCATGCCGAAGAATGCTTCTTCGATAAAGTCACGTCAGGAACCAAGATGAGCCTTATGTTCGAAGTGGCAGAAGGAGGCTTCCTGGACATTGACGTCAAGGTGAACACGTATTACTTGACAACGATCGCGATCGGCATATGTGCAGCTTTCCAGTGGATTCTGCCGTATTTTGCTGCATTTTGTTTTCGAAACCTTTTGCGTGTATTCTATTGAATGGTTGAATTTAGTGTAGGTCACATACAACCAGGTTATAATTAGAGGCTGTCATAAGGCTTAATTTTATGAATCACTTTATTTGTGTTAAGTACATTTGAGAAATCCAATTTCATCAGGTCCTCTGTTAAACCAACTGAAACATTAACTGGATTATTTAAGTTTTTGAGCTTTACAAGAAGTATTTGTAAGCATGTCAAGTGCTTGCTAACAGCTGGTCAAATAGCTATGATTGTAGGAAGGCGTTTACTATTCTCGCGGTACTTACGGATATCGGCTGAAAAAATAACACCAACAATTCTTATCGTGTGAATGCTTGTTATTAAATGAAGGGCCTTCTCCTCTAACATCTGCATCTATCAGCTGCCAGATCCATCAGGTGAATTACCATTCGTGAGCCTGGTGATAAACAATGCCATCCGCCATTGACGAAACGAGGCTTCTCCCATTCTCGCTGTATTACCAGGAATTAACGTTATTGAGTGTATGTAAGAGCAATCCTGCCGGAAAGGGCAAAAAAATTAATGATATGTCCAAGTTGGTATAAACTCCCCAATATTCGTGACACTGCAAGATTTTGATCATTCACCGACTTGGTCCACTTCCTAGTTACCAGTCGATGATGTAAACAACCGGTAAGTGTCATCGCATCAGCGATTTGACAGAAAACATATTTACCGCGAGAACAGGAGACGACCTATATGACCATTTTTGTGTTAGAATTGATATTCTCCTCGTCACAAGAGAAGACAAACAGATTATAGGTCCATACTTGCTGACTTGGCAAATGCATGTCGTCATATCCCAAATGCATCAATCGCTTGGGCGTCTTGTCCAAATTCAGATATTACAGGTTTCCGCCATATTACTGGAAAATTGCTGAATGAGGCGTTAAACTAGAAAAACATGTAATTTAATCCTGTTGTAATAGACACCCCACTTATGCTCACCACTAATGTTTGCAGATATATGGACCAGAGGGTAAAGTGATCCACTCAGGAGACCGTGAGTCCAATGGCAAATACACATTTGCTGCCCACATGGATGGTGTCTATAAATACTGCTTCAGCAACAAGATGTCCACCATGACGCCGAAGATTGTTATGTTTACTATGGATATTGGAGAAAAACCCAAAGATCAAGACAATATGGAAACAGATGGTAGGAGCATGAAAATCACATGCCAGTGTTATACTGTATATATGTTAACATGGGTAAGGTGATCCAAATTTGCCGTCAGGTGATGCGATGTTATAGTCCGTTTGGCTCAAAAGCGGACCGATGAATTGCAATCTAACTCGAAAACTAATAAACATAACATACTCAATGAAATGCTGATCATAATCAAAACATCATACCAACTCTGTGAGGTTTTTGCAGATTTTTGTCCTAAAAATAATAAAGTTGTTAAACAAACTGTCATTAAAATATTGACACAGTTCACTGTTTGTTACGAGGGAGGAGTGCAGAGAAAGGGAGTGCAGAGAAAGGGACAGCCAGGTGTTCGAGATGCACGTTCAGAGACAAAGTTATTTATTTATTAACCTGTGCTGTGCCGTCTCCATTCGTTCTCAAACACCTGGCTGTCCTTTTCTCTGCACTCCTCCCTCGTAACAAATAGTGAACTGTGTCAATATTTTAATGATAGATTGTTAAACAACTTTTTTATTTTTAGGACAAAAATTCTGCAAAACCTTACAGAGTTGGTTTTGATTATGATCAGCGTTTCATTGAGTATGTTATGTTTATTAGTTTTCGAGTTAGATTGCAATTCATCGGTCCGCTTTTGAGCCAAACGGACTATAGTTTGTTCCATGAAGCCCATTGCAATTCCAGGTTAGTGCACCAGGGGTTATAAAATATGATTGTCAGACTCCTTTGTATAGTGAACTTTCAATGTCAGGCAACTAAATTGCTAATTTCAACTTAGCCATTGGCACCACAGGCCCTTGTGTCTTTGCGAGGTTTAAAGATGTTAAAATAACAATAATAACAATAAACATTTGAGATGACCCCTGACTGGAAATGCTTCACAGTACAATACATCATGACAAGGCCGGACATTTCGGTGTACCCCACCCTCCTGCTTTGCCGATCGCTACGCTACCATCGCATGCAATTGATTAAAACTTAATGTAAACATAATCATGGATGATTGGCCTATGGATCACCACTCATGACACCCACCATTTGTTTATTGTTATTTCTGCAAATCGATAGAAACCCGATTTGGACCCTCAACTAAACGATCTTGACACAAATGGATGACGATGTGTCCGCACACAACGGGGATGTGGTCGAAGCTAGCCCACCCATTGGTCAACGCTTGTAAATCTGCACATTCTTTATAAATTCGCTGGAATTTTTCCTTTCATCAACTGCTTAATATAAGAATATTTTTCGAGCAATGAATTCACAAAAGAAAGCATCAGTTGTAAATGTCTCCTCAACATGGATCAGCCAACCAGAGGGCTTGCTTCGACCACACAGCTGTTGTGATTGGCAGATACATCACTGTATAATTATACATTAACAGACACCATATCACACCACACTTCTCTAAAAATTAATAATGCATTTCTCTCAATAAAACTAACTATCAGCCCTCAGGGAAGCTACCATATAATTTATTCATAAAAACTTATGTATTTCGATTACAATATTATACTGAAAAGCTGAATGAAATCAACTCTCACACCTTCTACTAGCCGAACATTATTTCAAGCGAACCCCATAGAGTTATGTCCCTTGGAGCGCTCTTTACTGAATATCCTACGCACACCTTGTGATTGAAACCATTTTGGCAAACACCGAAAACATGGCATGCAACAGTTTTTGATGTACAGAGCAATTGTTTACATTCCATATATGGCAAGTGTTCTCTGAAAGCTGTCCACCTGGAAGTTAGGGATAGTAAGCCATTTATTGCATCAATAGGAAGCTAAAGTCAGTGCATATGCCCCAATATATATAATATAGGCCAAAATATTGTCAAAATTGTGTGACATAATTGAGCGTTTAGGATGATCTGTAAAAGTCTTAGAAATCAATAGTCATTTACATCCCATGTTTATAAAGCTTGGTTGCATAAAATCCCAGCACATATAAATATTTATATGTTCATGGTCAGTGAAAAGCTACTTTATAATCACTGCCAGTTTCATGGTAATAAAATTGTTTACTGACAAACTGGGGTGTGTATCTGGATGTTGAAGTTAGCTGCTGGTATTATCATGTGTATTATCATGATTATGTGTATAATGCCATATCCAAAGTCACTGAAAGACAGATCTTGTTAGTGAATGTTGTTATTAAGAGGATAAACAAAACCTGGCTGGCCCCTGGGTCTGTGTACTTGTCTGAGTTGGTTATGTTAAATCCTTGCATGGTATCTCACTGATATTGCACTAAAAGTGGACAATAATGAATGCACACACACTAGGGCTGGCAATCGACATAGATCATAGACATCAATAATCATTAACTGAATGTTGATCTATTATCCATAAATAGCGGAGACGTATCTTTGAGCCTTAATGAAAAAAAAAATGAATGTGTACTACCGACAAAAAATAAGGGAACTAATGAAATGACAGTGAATGTGAAATTGCTCTGAATGTCCACTAAATCAAATGTGGGCGCAAAGTTCAATATCTGGTGTGTCCACCATGTTGGGCAACACATTCACGACACCTTGATGACATACTGTTGATTAATTTCCGGATGGTTGCCCGTGGTATTGCCCGCCATTCCTCCTGAAGAGCTTCACCAAGCTGGGCCAGGTTGACTGGTGCGGGGTCCCTGGCGTACACCCTTCAACCGAGAATGTCCCATAGATGTTCAATTGGGGACAGGTCTGGGGACTTAGAGGGCCAGTCCAATGTCTGTATGCCCTCCTCGTCGGAGATAAGCTGTGACAGTTTGGGCCCGATGTGGTCTGGCATTATCATCTTGGAATTCAAAATTCCTGCCGATTCTAGCCAGTGGAGCCACGACAGGACGCCTTAAAATTTAGAAACGATCGCTGACCAGTCAAGGATCCATTAACGATGACCAGATCTGATCGCCTGTCATGTGTAACCGCGCCCCACACCATGACACTACCACCCCCATATCGATCATGGTCAGTAATTGCCGCTCTGGCATACCGCTCACCACTACGGCGCCAACAATGTTTTCTGCCATCTGTGAATCTGAGGCAAAACCTTGACTCATCTGAGAACATGGTGTAACGCCAGTGGCGCAAAGCCCGTCCCTGATGCTGCCTAGCCCATGCCAGTCTTTGGCGCCTATGGTGAGCTGTAAGGGTAACACCCTTGAAAGGCCGTCTTGCTTTCAGACCTGCTTGATAGAGCCGGTTGTTAACGGTTGAGTGTGAAATTCGTCGCCCAGTGAGTGTACAGAATTCCCTATTAATGGCAGGTGCTGATTTGAACCTATTGCGTAGGGCCATTAATGAAATGAGACGATCCTGTCGTGGTGTTGTTGATTTTGGTCTGCCATGACCAGGTCTCATTGCAACCCCAACCGTTTGACGGTACTTGTCCCACAGGCGTGAAATTACACTTTTTGATTTACCCAACATTCGGGCAACTTGACACAATGATGTCTTTATCATGAATAAAGTCCTAAATTTGTATATTTTGAGAGAAAATTAAAACCTTTTTCGATCACAAAAGTTAATGTACGATATTATTAATAACACAGTTTTCATATCGATAATAATTAATATTTTTCTTATCAATGACATTTCCGATTATCGATCCTTTTAGCCAGCCCTAACACAGTCACAGATGATTTCTGTGTGAAACAGATTGTACTTCATCTGCAATTTGACTTTTTTGTGACCTCTGATCTTTCTAACGTTGATCGATTGGTAACAGATGTTCGTGATCTTCAGGATATTACTCTTTGTTTCAGCTCACCACAACAAGCTGGCAGAGATGATTAATGAGCTTTCCACAGCTCTGACTGGCGTGAAACACGAACAGGAATATATGGAAGTCAGAGAGAGAATCCATAGAGCTAGTGAGTATTGCAGCAACATCTTGGTCACGGTCCAACACTATAAGATAATGATCATACAATATGTCAATGTATTCTTTTTTTTCCGGCCCAGTCAATAGATAGATAGATATTCTTTATTTCCTCCATAGTTTGAAGATTACAAATGTATATGTATATTATTCAGTCATATTAATGGTACATGATACAACAGAAATGCACATGAAATAATTTATACAGGGTGGTAAGGTGAAATACAACAGTTATAAATATTTTTCCATTTACATACAGAATTTGAGACACATATTATAACATTTGCCCACACATCATAGTTTAGCTGGTCCTTTACATCTTCCGGTATTCCGCCAAGTAGAAATTTCAGGAATTCATCATCATCATCGTAGGTCCATAATTTTACAAACATATTAACATCAAGTAAGTCACAAATTTGTTCAAATAAGACATTTCTTTCAGCAATATTAATCTTACAAGTCATAAAGATGCTTTAAAATATCGTGCGCCACAGTACCACACTCACATTCCTTCGACTGAATGGGGACAGAACCCAGTTTAATAAGAAAACCAATACGTTTATAGTACCTTGGTCTGTCAAGCGCCAGTTGCCATAGTCGATTTACACCGTAAGTCAAATGTACATCGTAATAATGCAGACTAAAACTATGAATAAGGAATACAATGGTATTGCAAGAAAGTTAAATTCGAGAAAGTTTAGATATGTGTACTTCACATGCTAAGTATTGATCTTCTGCTAAAATCATGAAAAACAGATTGGCAGATTTTTTACCCACCTTAGTTGTGTTGTCCTAACAACAACAGCATGTAAAGTGGCTTTTTTGAGCATGTTGAGTGTGTATAGTTTGCGCTATGTTCAACAGAACATATTTGTAATATGTATAACAGTATGTCCATAAAAATAAATAGGTTAAGATGAAACATCATTAGCATTAGTTTACGCAGAAAATGATTCATTTTGAAATATGAATGGATAGGAATCGTTTACCTTGTTTACCACAAAGTCTGAAGCAATCCAGACAGATAAGAGTTACGTCCCTTTGATGTGATACGTCTGATAATGTAGTCATTTAGTCAAGAAAATTATGACATTCATGTGCCTCTTAATTATAGTGACGATTCTTCCAATATTGTATTTCTGGCAGTCATTGTGACAACAAAACATTAGTAATAAAACATAAATGTGTTAAATTTCTTATGATCCTGTGTTTGCTGTTCTAGAAAAACTAAACTCAGTCAGTAGTCAATATTGTAGACAATCATTATCAAACTTGAGAAATACCACATTTAAAACCGATAGCTCAATTCCACATTTAGCAGATGTGTTGAACAATTTTCTGGCTGTTTCTGGTTGACAAGGGCAAGTGTTTACTGATCTAATCAATGACCTTTTGTTGTTACAATTGTATGGGCTGTAATTCTCTTGACAATGCCAACCTGTAAAAAAACATATTTAAGTAGTCCTCCCCTAGAAATTTGGCAAATCAGGGAGAGGGGTGGTCTGTGCCGGCAATAGTTTGATTTACTATGGATAAAGAGCAGTTAACAAACTCAATGTGACCACTAATTTATATTTGCAATAACAACAGTTTGTTAAACAAATTTTGACTAACAAATGCTGCTAGTAGGTAGGACATACTGTAACAACATTTCATTATATCTGTCAGTTCCTTATTAACATAGTTATAGTCTGTTTGTATTGAAAACGTACCGATGAATGTCAATTTAAACAAAAAAGTAAATCGAATAAGATGAAATTAAGATTGCGAATCCTCATAATTTTACCTTGCCAACTGACCATTTAAATTTTATTCAACTTAGGATAAGACTTGTTTAACAAACGATCATAGTTTCAAATCGCTATTATTGGTTTGTATTACAAGGGGGTATGCACATTAAATGAAACACCGAGAACAAGTAGAGTTGGTCTCAGTCAACGCTCATCACGAATCGCACGTGCATTTGTTTCACTGTTCCATCTACTGCGCTCACCCCCTTGTAATACAAACCAATAATAGCAATTTGAATGTATGATCGTTTGTTAAACGACTTTTGTCCTGCAATGAATAAAATTCTGAGATTTAAATGTTCAGTTGGCAAGGCAAATTTATGAGGATTCGCAGTCTTAATTTCACTTTGATTTAATTTACTTTTTGTTTAAAGTGAAATTCATCGGTACGTTTTCACTGCAAACAGACTAGAGCTGTACTTCATCTACATGGTATAAGGGGGCGATGGGGTAGCCTAGTGGTTAAGGCATTCGCTTTTCACGCTTAAGACCCAGGTTCGATTCCCCACATGGGCACAATGTGTGAGGCCCATTGCTGGTGTACCCCTCATGATATGGCTGGAATATTGCTAAAAGCGGTATAAAACAAACTCACTCACTACTTGGTCTAAACTTTCCCTAAATATATCTATATAACATTAGGCCTTGGTTTTTATCCTAAATTAGAAAATCATGTTGTATTAAAAGACGTTAAAAGACGGTTCATTTTGTTGCCATGCATTGTGCTTGGCATGAAGGGGATAAAACAAGGCCTCATCACTGTCAGTCAGTATAGCATGGTATATAATCTGTACACTGTCTGATGGTGTATCCATGTTAAACTGTGGTATAGTATCTGAGTGAACTGATAGTGTTAAAACACATGTTCTGACTTGTCCAAGAAGCCCAGGGGTTCAATTTTTATTTTTAAAAGCCACTTGCCTGACTTTAAGACTTTAAGAAAGTAACTTGTCCTGACTAATTTTCCACTTGCCCTGATTTTTATGACTTAATCATGACAGATAACTTTTTGGGTCATTGAGTTATGTACTTGCTTGTGTTCATATCAATTGGGAAACCTGATTTTCTTTGGATTATCCAAATAGATTGTACCATCTCACTCAAAATTAATTGGGTATTTTGCCATTTTCCATTAATTTTAAAACTATAATAAAGTTTAAATGTTAGTGTTTGTTATTTATATAATTTGATCTGTAATGTGAGTAACGATAAGAAAGTTGTCAATTTCATGTCCTGAAATAGAACCTCTCAGTATACCTCAGTTATGTTATTTATCCACCAGTACGCAAGCTAGGATTTGACATTTTTGTGTGTACGCATGTAAGATGACATTTACTGAGTATTTACCAAAATTCAAGCGTACTTGTACGCAACAGGCTTAATAGAAATTGAGTTTTCACATAAATATTTGCGTAATTTACGCAGATACGCAGATGATCTGTACCTCTGTCCTGATGATGTAATTATGGAAGAATAAATCAGCATGGAATTTGATGTTAATGTTTACTGGACTATTTATCGAGGAGTGATATATAGCAAAGAAAAATAACTCTAGTTTATTATCATTGCGAAAATTACTTCTTTTCATTCTTGTATTGTGTCAAATTTTAATAGCTACATTTTGAGCAGATATGAAATGAAATCCAAGTTTATTTGCAGTTTGAAACCGTAAGCAGAAATTGTCTAGTAGCCAACGGACAAGTAAGATACCATTATTTGATTGCCCGAAATGAAAACTGACTTGTCCTGGGCTCCGGGCGATGGGATTTTTGAACCCCTGAAGCCACACAGATTGCAGTAGAAGTGCAAAAATCTTGAACACAATATCACTCATTACGCCTCACCTCATCCTTAATTTGGATGATTTGATACTGACATTGCTTATTGATGTTGTAACCACGGTAACAGAAACCTACACTGATTTATGTCTCTTTCAGTCAACGACAACACTAACTCCCGTGTGGTGCTATGGTCATTCTTCGAGGCTCTGGTGCTGGTTGCGATGACACTAGGACAGGTCTACTATCTTAAGAGATTCTTTGAAGTGCGACGTGTGGTGTAAGAGCCCAGAGACAAGGATGGATCTCATTCTCATTGTATACAATCATCATCACCATCACATCCCTCACGTCATTAATCCAACCCTTAATCCAATTGAGCTCATTGTCATGCACCTCTTGTACACCACCACAGCTGGCACATTGGTTTTGAATGGAGACTTCCTTAATGAAGAAAAGAGGTTTTAGTGTAATAATTATGTTCCAACATTTGTAGACGACAGTATTGTGGGAAATCAAACTTGTACAAGCATCATGAACGACTGTGTTAAATTAGTTTATTTCCTATGTTAAATCTGAATAGATGGTGAAAGTTTGTAATTGAAATGTATGTTATTTATTTTGTTTTTGAGCCAATAAACTCAAGGAAGTTCAATATATTACTAATTAGTTCAGTGTAGTTTTGTTGGTGTATTTATTTTTTAAACATTGTGGTGGAAGTTTTCAAATGTGTAAAAATGTAAATGTGGAGATGTTAAGTAAGGGTATTTTTATGGTAACGATGCATGTATGTGTGTTTAGCTGTCTTGTATTCATACAGAGAAATAGTCAGTGCTTTACTGTCCTCTGGGTCAGGTCAAGTGTGGCTGACACCTTCAGCTTATTCTGTGGCTTTAGTCAATCTGGGGATTCCGGACTAGGATATATTCCCAGCAAGCTCTGCTGGTTGTAAGAGGTGACTTAATTGATATGCTGGCCAGGCTCGGTGACAAGGGTGATTGTTACTCTGATTGTGTGGATCATTGCTCATAATATCAATCACTGGATTGCCTGGTCAAGACTCAGTTATTTATATCTGTCATATGGATAGAATATTGCTGAGGCTTGTGTTAAACAGCGAACACTCAGACCTACTGCATATGTCTGTAAATAAGGCATTTTGGGGGCCTTTAATACTTTTTGCTAAAGTAAATTAATCTTAAACCCTATATATTTAACTGCTAGTGTTAGCATTTTAAGGGATGATGAATTCTTGGTTTGCACGCTTAGGTTTGAACATGCCATGGAGGAATTAGATTCATGGCAGATCCTCAGGTCTTTCAATAATTTGATAGTATAACTCCTTTCTCCCCCAAAAGGATTTTTTTAAAATAAAAATTGTGTGTTGCCTTTTTCCAACTCTAACCTTAAGTATCTGAAACTTTGTGAAATTGCTCTTTCAACTGATCCAGATGGTCAAGTTATTAATGATATTCTGGATTTCTCCTTAATAATGACTTGTTCAGGAACTGTTGAGTGTCACCTCATTATCTAACTCACTAACTGGATGTCTGGGTGGAAGTATGTGTGAGATGTCTGCCTTGGGTATGTTTTGAAATGAATGAATAGCTTTAATCAGATAGCATTCTGTTGGTAGTGGTTCGGTACCAGTGGTACAGCTGAGTAAGACTTGACCCCAAAGGTGCCACCTTTCAGTGTGTGGGTTACCTCCCTTGGGTAGTATGGCTTCAAGCCACATTTGATGTGATTGGTGGAAAGGTGATGAATTAAAATATGGTTATCAACACATCCCTGTACATTACTGCCTTTGTGTGACGTGAGCATCTCTGTAATTAGTTGCAGCAACTGTATCTCTGTACTGTTTCCAGGGAGGCGGATGGAGATACCAGTACTGCAGCACTCTGTAATATACAAGTGTGTACAGTAATGTGATGAACATACATGCCTCCCTTTAGTGCTGCATAGGTTAACGTCTAGTCTGCTCTAGTGTTGGGAATTGCTTAAAATCTCATCATTGATGATTGGTTCATTACTAAAATAACTGGTTAGTCATTTATCAAATTTTCTTGCTATGTTTGTTAATGCACAAAAAAATAAAGAAAAAACATGTAGTTCTGCATTTGCAAATTTCACATCTTTAAAGGATGAATAGTATGTTAGGAACATAAATTTCCTGGAGTCTTTAAGATAAATTCAATCGTGTCTTTGAACGAGCTTGTAGTGCTTATGAAATGTAAATTTAATGACAAAACCAACCTTGTGAAATTTTTTTGTTAATGCAAACAAGTGTTCCAAAATTGTTTGTGTTCGATTATAAGAAAACATGATCAATTGCTTGGTCGTTCAGTCACTGCGACCAATCTTTGATTATTTCAGTTAATCGGAACACCGCTAGTCTGTTCCTGTAAGTGTCTATTGTTTTAACATGAACTCAAGAAAAAGTTGTATACTTCGACCAACACTAAGATACAGAGTATTAACCATGTCTATCTATGACACCAGACGGCTTTATTCTCATACCAGGTCACTGTAAATAATGTTCACACAAGCTGTTGTATTCATCCTTGATACCCATACAGAATTTCAGAAGTCATAGTGCAATTCCCTAAATCTCCCAGGTGTCATGGCTGGTATTCCTTTGCATAGAAGCGTGCCTTTTGATTTTCTTTTATGACACCACGGTTAATCCAGATCTACTGAGACAAGGGTATTGGCCTCAGGTCTGCAGCAAATATCAGTAGACATTTCCAAATTTGAAAAATTCATGTTATTACAGGTTTATTTAATGTGATGGCTTTGTCGGGTTGACATGTATTTCACAGATATCGAGACCTATATTAGGCTTTGATGCTTATATTTACATTATTGAGGGTAGTAAATATACAATGTTAAAAGACCTCTGAATTCAACATGTTTAACAATTGACACATTAAGAAATTTGAAATGTGAACTAAAATATTTCCCCCCAAGTTTGCTTGTCAAAGGTTCTTATTTTGATACCAGTTAACTTGAATTACAAGAATATTCAACATACAGATGGATATTTTTTCAAGTTGTGGTTAATCGTATTGCTTGTTAGGACTATGTTATTGTATTGTAACAGTTAAACATACAGTTATGTTCTGAATTTAAACGAGGCAACAATGTCACATTTTGAAAATGAATGAGAAACATTTATTATGACCCTTCATAGCTCAGTCTTTAAGAGGAAATGTTATAGACATTAATTTATGTTGATGTTAATGAGATTGGACTAAGTTGTGTATATTTGTGAAACAAAGCATGCCTATCTTTTCTTCAAAATAAAATATCTTTTTTTTTCCAAATATGACTTTGTCTCATTTTTCTGATGCACCTAATAAAATGAGTGAAAACCAATTTTAACAAGTATATAATTGAGAAGATTTTTTGTGTGGATACTTTATGAAACTGCCCTGGTCATATCTTAATTTTTTGGGGGAGTATTCAGAACTGGATTTGTCAATTTTGATATTAACAGTGCAAGGTTTGATGACAGATATCAAAGTATCTTATCCATTAATACCTCAATACTATGAGCAATGCTCAGATGTGACCGGATCATGAGACCTGGGACAGCATCAGGACAGTTTAACTGTGGATGTGTGCTGTGGAAGAACCTGTACAAGGAGGTGAAGAGTCCATAAAATATCACTGTAGAGGGACTCGAACTCGATTCCTTCAGAGGCGTTGTCTACATGACCAAGTCGGTTAGCAAGCTCAGCGGATTGACGTGAGGATGTAATCACAGGGATGACTCCCACCCACTACATGGACTAAAGATCATCTCCGTGGGTTCTTTCTCTGAAACACTCTTCACAAAGACAAGAAACTCTTATAAATTGGGAGGCGGTGTCTCGGTGGTTCAGGGCACCAGAGTTCATAGAGTAGAGTAACCTTAGTCGACCTGGTTCCATTGGTGACGATTTCGAATCGCTGATGACGATCTTTGGTAAGTGAACATCCATCCTCGATAATCTCCAGGGTATACGTTCCGATATATCTCTACGGCTCGAGCCGATGATTTTATTACCTCCCTTCGCTGGCTCCGCATTCTCACAGTAGCCAATCAGATAAGCCGCTGTTACAACCGAGCTTGCCAGTGTCAACAGTCGCGAAAGTTTGTTTGCTGTGCAATTCAGATTTGGGGGGAAAATATACAGGCAAATTGACAGGTCTGAAATCTTAACAAAATATATGCAAGAACTCCTTCTACCTCTTTCAGAGTACCTCTGCAACAATATAATATTATGTTGCCAAGTTTAATCGGTTAGATAATTTAAAAAGCGAAAGTGAGTTGTGATTGGTACGCTCAACTTCCCAGCGTAGACACCTGATTGGATAAAAAGCTAATTTGCTTGTAGAACAGCCAGGTGTGCGATTAAAATTTCACAACAAACGCTTGTTGATTGCCTTGCTGTTCTACTTGGCCCCCTCTTCTTCGTTAAGAGATAGTCGTTAGTGGCAACAAAATAATGATCGTTTGTTAAACAATTTTAGGAGACAATGATCACAGTTGGTCTGTCGATTTTATGTGACTGTGCAAAATTTGGTTTTGTTGAATTTATATTAGATTTTGTGTTAGTGAGCAATTCATCGGTCTCAAATGAAATCAAACGGACTATAATACTGATTTTTATTATCGCACTCACGGTCTGTGTGGTACAGACACGAATATTTACAAGCCTCCTCGATGTCCTTTATATAGCTGGATTACTGTTGGCTTTAAAGGTAACCCACTTTATCACAATCTTACTGAAGTAGCGTTGTTATTTGATGACCGCCTCCGTGGTGTAGTGGTTAGAGCGTCCGCCCGGAGAGCGGAAGGTCGCGGGTTCGATCCCCGACCGCGTCATACCAAAAAGACGTTAAAATATGGTACTTGTTGGTCCTTGCCTGGCGCTCGGCATTAATGTGTACAACAAGGACTGGTCGGCTCGGAGTCAGTATAATGTGTCTGAGTGGGATATTCATGCTTCACTGCGGCATGGTATCTCAGTGAGCAAGCACTATAAAACCAGCTTAAGTCTGGGCTAGTACAAGCAGCCGCACATACACATACACATGCATGCACGTCGTCATATGAGCGAAATATTCTCAAGCACGATATAAAACCCAATTTCACCTCACCTCGTTATTTAATGCTCTGACTTCTCAGATACAACCCACTTGCAAGAATATTTGTTGCTGTTTTAATAGTGACGTCCGACGGTGCTGGGTACAACGTCAGCTTTACGACTGTAATCCTATACATGTACATATAGAGCCAGATTAACGCTTAGTCTTTGAATATATATAATTTTGACCCGGGTCTTTGCAATTAATCTAATGATGTTCAGGTAAAACGTGACTAGAAATAGGACATTTGTGACGTCAGCAAGCTCGATCCTTTGCACAGATGGAAGCTTGAAGGATTAACTGGAATGATGTTTAAGACGTTGCTTGGTCGTATCCGGCTGAGGTATTCAAGTGTTGTGTCAATTCTATCATACAGGAAACGGTCTTGAATGCGCGAGTGAGTATGGTTTTGCGCCGCTTTCAGCAATATTCCATCAATATCACGGCGGGGGACACCAGAAATTGGCTTCACACATTGTACCCATGTGGGGAATCGAACCCGGGTCTTTGGCGTGACGAGCCAACG